AAATTAATGAACTAAAAAAGTGAATAACGAAATGAAGTTATCTTGTTCATTAATTTTAGAGTGATGAAATTTGCAAATTATTTTTTATTTTTTGCTATCATTGATTCAATTTTAGTTATCATATCAATTACTCTGAACGTAAATAGCAAAATATCAGTGCGAAATATCTTATAATTTTTTTAGCATTTGGAACTTAAAGAGAAATTCATCCACATTCCTATTATTGACTATAACAATATTTTAAATTTTCTCACCGATTTTTTTTCGTTGAAATTTGAATTAAATTTTTTTTTTTTGATATGATAACTGATTTGAATATCCGATAGTTAAAAACATTGAGATGGTCAAAAACCGTCATTCGTTGTACACACTTTGAACTTGTTTATCACCTGGATCAAGTCATTCATTTTTGCAGCAGCTGTCCAAAACTACGTAACAATTTGTCCAATTTCAATCGGTTATTTGTTGGCAGTAGAACTGAGAGAGAGAGAGAGAGAGAGAGAGAGGGGGAAAGAAAGAAAGAGAGAAAGAGTGGGAAAGAGTGAAGTACCAGTGGTTAACTAAATGCTCTTCTTTAACGTTTCTTTTCCACTTTCGTTTTAAATTATAAATTTTCTTTTTTTTTCGTGCATATGTTTATGGAAATATCGTAATAGATGGGTTGAATAGAATGTTTCTTCAATTTGCATTAACATCCTTAATATAATATCCTATATTGATTGAAAATTTCAAATAATTTATTTGCCAAAAAATTTTTTTCTTTTCTTTTATCAACCACTTTATAAAAAAAAAAGGAATGAAATGAAATGAAATGAAATGAAATGAAATGAAATGGTAGAATTGATAAGAGTAAATGAAGAAAAAATTTAGTAATGTCTAACATATTTATTATCTTTGAATAATTAAAATTTTCGTTTTCTTTTTTTTTTCACTTGTCATATTTTTTCTCTTCAATAGTACTATTGGATATTTTCGAGAATTGACAGAGTTTTAGTCTGACAGATATTGTGCAACATATAACAATTTATTCGTAAAAATGTAAACTTGCAACAATGATTTAGCGAAATTTGAATGATTTTCTTAGATAATGCCATGTGTTCCAATGATTATCATTTTAGATGATCCGATTAGTTGACAGCGGTAATTACTTTTGGGAAACTGGAAATAATTTTCGGTTTTTCGATAGTAATCATCGCTGTCAATATTACGGGAAAACATTTTATCGTAAGCTATTTGTTGAATAAATAGATGAAAAAAAAAAAAGAGAAATCCTTCGTATCATTTAGATGTTTAATTGAATGATCAGATTTGATCAAATTTTTCATTTTCCTCTCTCTCTTTTTTTTTCATCTATTTATTCTATAAATAGCTTGCGATGAAATATTTTTCCATAATATTTAAGCTGATGGAGGTAAAAAATTGATGATTTTTAGCATTATCATTTGTTTGCAATTCATTTTCTCACACGATAAATGTATAAAGCAGAATTTTAGTGCGGTGAAGCTAAACGAAATATCATTCTATTGATGTTGTCTGTAGTTTTATTGGAGTAAAGTACAAAGATTAAAAATTTTTCGATGTTTTTGAACAGTTTACTAACATTTCAGTTCATCATAAATTATGTACAATTTTGAATTGGTGAACAATTTCTATTTGAATGATTATTGAAGATAATTTTAACAGTTAATCATTTCATGAATATTTTACATTAAGAAATTATGGAATTATTCCAATGGAATAATTTCTCTCTCTTCTTCCCTTATTTTTTTTTTTTAATGTCTGATTATAATGCTCAATCTCGTAATATCATGCTTTTACGATATTCGCTTTAATTGCAACGCTGTGCACCATTCTGCCAAATTTTTTTTCTCCTCACTCTCTCTCTCTCTCTCTCTCTCTCTCTCTTCCTTTCTCTTTATTTCTATTTTTTATGATGTATCATTTCAAACAAATTATTTCGATAATGGTTTTTGTTTACATACAATTTGTTGCAGTATATTTAGCTTGCTTTATTGCTTTTCCTGGAAATTGTTGCTGAAACAATTTTTTTTTTTTATTTTATAATCCTCAATTAACTTTGATTTATTTTACGGCATGATCAAATATCGTCATTGTATTTTAGCATATTTAAATATTTCATATGAAAATAGCAATTTTTGTTGTATCATTGACATACATTCATAATTACAAAAAATGATATTTGTCATAAATTATAAATGCTTGAAATGAAGTATGATTAATTTGTGGTGACTAGTGATAACGGCTAAAGTGGTAAATGTTTTAAACATTATCAATGTAGTATGATATTAATATTTGTTTGTGCTTCTTTTTTTATTTGGTCTTGTTTTTTTTTTTTAAATCTTTAAAAGAAACGATGAAAACAAGAAAAGAAGGTATAATATGAGCGCATGATACATTAATGAATGAATAAAATATTTATGGAGTAAAAGACAATGTTTAATTGTTGTTTGGAAAACATAATAAAAATTGTTTTAGAGCGTAATAATTTTAGCGCATTAAATTCTAGCAAATTTAGATTGAGTGTAATAATCCTAGCATAGTTCAAGCAAATTGCACAAGTTTTACATTTCAATACTTGCAAAGAGTTGTTAATGGATGGTTTAGTTGGTATTCTTTTCAGTTATCCATCTATACGATCGTTCCATATCACTGATAACGATTGTGAAAGTGAATTTATCAAATATCCATTAACTGTTTAAGCGATTAATAACCATTTTTGTCGATTGATTGATTACTGACTTTACCGGATGAAAAATATTTTAAGACAGTTAAACAAGTATTCAGTTGTGATATTTCTCATGTTTTTCAAAAAAAAAAAAGGTGGTACAGATCGATTACAAATAAATTAGCCTAAGGATTGACGTATATCCTAGGGATTGACTATCTTTAGTTCAAATCTGTCACCCTAATCATGAATACATATAAGCTTTTACGTGGACCGATCAATTAGTTCCGTTGAATTATCATTTTGGTGAAGTTATTAAATTCTCATTTTCCAAGATTTAATTTCCACTCTTTTTTTTCCTTGTTTTGAAGTTTTTCAAGGTGTTGCTTAAAGATACACCTTTTTTTATCGAATGCCTGAAGTCAATTTATCTCTTTGTAAAAATGTTGTCAACCACAGTTTTATTGGTTCTGTAAATTCCAGAGGGCATGACATTTCAATCCATCACTTTCACTTTTTTTTTTTTTATTCTCCAACAACCTGTTTACAAACTCCATTCGTTATTTTGATTCATTCAACATTTCTTGCCTTTTCATTTTGTGGATATACTTCTATATTAGACTGACTCAAGAAAAACATTAGTTCCTCCCGATATCAGTTATATAACATGATGAAGTTGTGGAATGATTAGAATCTCTTGTTTGACTACACTACAAAACTTAGAATGTCAACAATTTAAAATATAAATTTCTACTAGCCTATGGTGTATATGTCTCCGAATAATGTAACAATCAAGAATTGTTATTCGCAATAGAGTAGAATGATTTAAGCGATAAGGATGAATCAATATTTAGGCAATTTTGAGCATATTACGATGAATTCTCTGGAGAATTTTTTTCCGATCTGTAAAATATTAATGTCAAATTACTATGCGATATGTTTACATTGGCATTGTTGAGAATAGAAAATATTCTTGATGTAAATTAAGATTTTAATTATCAGCAAATAATTTCTTATATCTCTTTACGGAACACTGAAACAGTTGAGAATATTTCTTCATCTAATTTTTAAACTCAAAATTATGCGCAGAATAAATAGTATCAATGAAATGAATACCTCAAAAGTACCACTATAATGATATAACGATACTCAATTATAGATTTTCACTATTATCAGATGAGTTTGATTACCGATCTCGAGGAATTAACCATTTTCCGATGATATTATAAAAAATGAATATATGCGCTCCTCCAGCACACATTTAACGTATTCACAATCATAAACAAAATAATTTTTGGACAAGTAAACAAAAGTCCAGAACAGTTCTTCGGTTACAAATGACTGTTTCCGGAAAAATCAATAGGATTGATAAATTAAGGATAGTATGAATATATAGGAGAATATAAAAATTTATGAGATTATCAAAATACCACATTACTTGAAATAATTTATCAGTTATTAAAGATAAAGAAAAAAGATAGCACGTTACTTGAGGAGGTGGTAGAGAATGATAGCGTCTGCAAAATGACTTTGGTTCAGTTATTCATCAATGGGTTTAGGATACATTTTGCGAGGATTTTTCATGGACTATAGATTAAATATATGTTCAGCGTACTTGTGCAATAATTGATGAATCGGGTGATTGGAAGTTAATAATTCAGATTTAAGTATCAGTTTAACTTGAATTTACTTACGAGTAATATATGTAACTGTATTTTTCATTGTCGTTAAAGTATGTGTTATTGAATTTTGGTTAAAAGAATATTTTAATCGCTTCCTTCTTTTTTTAGGCATTATGCCTAGCAAGACGAATGGCGCACCGAACGGAACGGCTGAACGTTCCTTTGTTAACTTTGATCCGGAAGATCCGGAATATATCAAGGAATTGCAAAGGCCAGCAGCCATCAAGGTTACTTTTTCTCGTAACGTTGGTCATTAGATTTGTTGGAATTATTTAACGTTTATTAGAGAGTAGTAATAAAAACATGCCAATTTGCTGTATTTACTGATGTCAGTTTAAGAGAATTTACATTTAATAAAATCTTCGAAATACACCTGTTTTTGTGGTTGTGTGTGTATTACTTTTTTTCTTCTATGTATGGACGTGTTTTCATGTCTCTGTGAGTTTACAATGAGACGATGTTAATGCTGTTGTTGCTTAAGCAAGATAATAATACTAGAATTATTTAAAGGAAGATTTATCTGAAATGGAAAGGCGAAAACGGGTGCAAGAAGTATTAGAATCGAAAAGTTTCTGCAAAGAACTAGAGGAATTAATCAAGCAGGAAAGTGAAAGCCATAAAAGTGATCCAGATCATTTGAAAACTTTGCAGCGGCTTTCTGAACTTACCCTTCCACATGGCCAAATTGCAGCGTCCAGTCTTCATAATATTGGTAGGCTGCAAATTATGTTCTTTTTTGTGGTGATAGACGGAGAATTAAATTATTATTGCTAACAAACATTAAAATAGTGGCACTTTATTTATGGCAGAACTGTGAAACCTATATTATCAAGATTTGATTTTAAAGTAGTGATGAAATATTATTTTTACTGTTTTGTATTTTGATGATATCCGTATCGTTTCCCCATATAAAATGATTAATTTGTGAGGAGGTGGAGCTGTATTACCCATTGCCGATCTCAAAGGAAGTGACAGTTACACGCGGACTGAAAAACTATTCAGGAATAAATTAGCTTCACTATATCGTTTAGTGGATCTTTTCCAGTGGTCGCAGGGAATTTATAACCATATTACGGTAACAATTATTATATTTCCTTCCCTTATTCTCTTTCCTTTTGTTATTATATGCAGGGTTTAAAATGTTGTTTATGGAATCGGATCTTTGAAAGTCACAGTATTTTTTTTTTCTTTATAAATGTTCTTTCATATTCTTTCTATAATATGTTGTGTGTTGGGTGTCTTACCCATTATTCTTTATGAAGACCACTTTTTAAATACCTTATAGTACACACAGGATACAGAATATTAGCATCACTCATTAATTTAATTACAGCTGGTAATTTATGAAAATAATATTCCCTTATGATTTTTAGCTGAAGTTACCAGATTCAGACGAACTACTGATCAATCCATTCGGATTGTTGTACCATGAAATTACAGCCAGTTCGTTGATAAAAATCAATATTAATGGCGAAATCATTGATCGTGGATCCACCAAACTAGGAATCAATGAAGTAAATATCATAATTGTCTATGTTTTCAATACACTAATACCATTCCAATTATTAGTTATTTTGTTGTGATTCAACTGACCAATAATTAATTGTTGTTAGGCAGGCTATGTTCTGCATGCAGCAATTCACAAAGCACGCCCCGACGTGAAATGCGTGTTGCACATGCATACTGCTGTTGTTTCTGCAATTTCATCGATGAAATGCGGTCTTCTGCCACTCTCTCAGGAAGCAATGATCATTGGTCCTGTAGGTTACCATGACTACCAGGTTTGCTTTTGTTTTTTTTTAAATTAATTGGAATGAGATTGTTCATTTTTATATAAAAATTTTTGGTTAGAAAGGCACATACATTTTATTGCTTTATTTAAACTATTTTGCAACTGCCACATGAAACTTATTTTCCTAAAGAAAAATTTTCAGGGTATATTGAATGATGAGTCTGAAATGGAATCAATCGTCAAAGATCTTGGCGATAAAAATGTGAGTTTTGCAAAATTTTGTTTTTGTTTCTGAGGAACAGGAATTAATATGCAAAATATGGATCGAAATCGCCTAGTCTTTGGAGCGCTTAGTCTTTGGATTGCTGGAACTCTCCTAAGCGGGGTACATCCCTCCGAGACTTTTTGCTTTAGGCAAGGTTCGTTTAGATCCTAATCTACAAAACTTATGCAGGTGGTCTTAGCAAAGTGAAGGATAAACAGCACATGCTGTTCTGCAACCATACAAGTGTGTGAGAATAATTGGTTTATAAATTTATTCGACATAGTTTAAATTAAGTCAGACAAAATCTCAAATCTTTTATTTATACCAAGGTAGTCGAAACGTATGTTGTTATCGAAACGTATGTTTGCATGCTTTTTTTTTTTNTTTTGAAGAAATGGCGATTCTTTAGATGGTAGGTTTCTCATTTTCTTTTATCTGAATGAATTGCTTGCTTATTTGCGTGAAGTGTTTGATGAGAAGTTTTAGGTGATGTTATTGCGGAATCATGGATTTGTAGCATGTGGCGAATCTGTTGAGGATGCTCTCCATCTTGCTTTCAATGCAGTTATCGCTTGTGAAACTCAGGCACGCCTGGCTTTTTGTGTTTTTTACAAGAATGATATTAGTAGTAGTAGTCATTTGGAACGCTCATTTATTTTTTACACTAAAATGATTTATTGCTTTCTGTAGTGTTAGTCCTGAAATTAATGGTTATTTCATCACTTTAGAATTTCTGATTTTAAAGTTACCATGCGAAGTAAAATAAAATCTGAAACAGTTTATTGTCTTTTTTCTTTCAAAATCTCTAATGGAAATGTGTTTGCAAATCACATGGGGAAGCTGATCAATGAACTAGTCTTATTTGAAAAAAATTGAGTGTAACCATCAAAATGCATGTCATGTTTGTGTTTTAGGATTTTTTGCCGTGCTAGTCGTATTTGCTGCTGTTTTATCGTGGATGTTGCATTTTATCTCTGACCGTATCTCAAATGAATTATTAACTCTTAGATGAAATTTGAAAAATTTTCTTCCGTTTGTTGGAGACTTCAGGAGTACTGATTTTGATACTTTATTGTTGTTTGATATGAGGAACTTTTCAAAGTTTTTGATATTAACTTTTTTTAAAAAAAAAAAATATTATTTGTTTTTGATGTTGTCACTACACTTCGTCAATAGTGGTTGTGTATTAAACTATTGTGTCGGCTTGCCAATGCATGTTTTTTGTGCAGGCAGTGCGTTTTACCATCTTCTAAACTTATTGTAAGTGCTCCTACTTCTTAGATTCATAATGCATCCTTACTGCTTTTAATTTATGTAGTTTATTTTTACATATATTGTTTGATTTACATTGTAATTACATTGTAAAGTAAGGGTGAAATGTAAACGTATTGTGCGCACAGCGCGAAATATGAATACTTTCAGAATCATTTGTTAGCAAAGTTCAGGTCCTTGATCATAAGTTTTTCAATCATCGATATTTCAAAAATTTGTCTTGTGATAGATTCGGCAGTGAAGCACTTCAGGTTTTCATACTACGTACGAATGGATATTTGGTATGTTGTGAAACGGTTGAGGAAGCAGTATATGTGATAAGAAACTTGGTCACAGCTTGCGATCATCAGGTTCAAACAATTTCTTATCAGATGGTTAAAGATGGTAAATCGTCGTATCTATAGATAGAGGGCTATTATTGAATTTTTGAATTATCTCAAATTCATGGTTATTTGTTTGTGTTATTGTGTAGTTGTTACATTATACATTATACTTTTTATGTTCCTGAGATTTCTAAATCTAATAAGGGTTTATATAAGTTTAATTTTAATTCATTTTCTATTATTAGTGACATTGTATGGCACTATATTTTCAGTACCTCTATGTTTATTTAAATGTTTTTTCATTTATTATTCATTTGTTTAGCTAATCATAGTTCTGATATTGTTAAATTCTTCATCTTTATAAATCCTATGTGGTTTGCTTATACCCTACCATTTAATCCTATTTTATATTGATTTTTTCTTGAATGAAAAAAGTGTAGTGCAAAAGTTCATTTTAGATTAGAGCTGCAAGAGCCGGTATCGAAAATCTCGTAATACCTGATGGAAAAGCCGTTGAAAGAGCGTACATGACAGCACGAAAAGGCGGTGAATTACTCTTTAATGATTTCACTTTTTAATTCCTTAAATTTAATATTAGGAAGTTTACATGAGGTTATATTCAGGAGGTGGTGTCAGTGGTGCAAAAGACGCGGAAGGAAAGCAAATTAGCTGGAGGATTGGTGAATTGGAATGGGAAGCATGGATGCGTGTACTTGATAATGCGGTAAGTGCCTTATGTATGCGCTAAATTTGACATTGTGAAATGAAAAACGAAATTTTTATTATGTTCTTATTAGCGTTATCATAACCCAAAAGCTTTTAGTCTTCCTTAATTTAAAGTACATATTTAAAAACATTTCTTCTATGCCTTGTTTTGTTGTCTTTAGGGCTATCGAACGGGTCATATCTATCGGCAACCACTTTTTCGTTCGAGGACACTTCCTTCATCGACAAATAATCAAAATGATGTTGCTGTTCCACCTAGCGCCTCGTCAATTGGCACCGTAAGACAGATTTCTTTTTTGAATATTTTCACTCGCTCATGGTTTCCATATAAAATGCGGGTGTTATTTATTCATTCATGTGTCATTATTATGATTTAGTTAAGTTCTTTTTGTTTAATCGTTCTGGATTATGGAGTGTGAAATTAAATGAAACTCACACATGTCCATATTTATTTTTGCAAATTCTACTGATGTATAGTCGGAGCCCGTTATATCCCAAACCTTTCCTAGGATAGAAGGATTGAATGGATGAGATATTTTTATTTGCTTCTTATTCTTGTATTCTAAAGTCTATAACTGCTGATGATTGTGCAACTTTCTTGTCTTAGAAATGTGTTCTATATTTAAGGTGGATGAATCTGATTATGAATCGGTGACTGCGCATAAAATGGCGCTGTTGCGTAAAGAACAGGAACGGTCTCGGTGGTTGAATTCACCGAATGCGTACCAGAAAATCGAAATCTTGGAAACGGGCACCAATAATCCGAAAAGGATTACGAAGGTATCTTTATACATTTCGATTTTCGAATTGGAATCTTTTTTATTTTTTGATTTCTCTTTGCTCATGCGCGTTTTCAAGTTTACTGAGTAAATGGATAAAACAGTTTGGGTATTTTCACCAAACTCGAGTAATATATCTGTACCAGATTATCTGCGAAATTGTTACTTTGTGTAACACTTTTCTCAGTTTTTCACTTCCGTTAGTTGACATATTCTCGATTTTACATTTCGGTTAATTAAAAAAATTCGAAATAAATGTTTCAGTGGGTACAAGATGTTGGTTCACCATCTCAGAGTGGAACGCCAGTTAAAATCTCTTCACCACACCAGTTCAGTCCTTTCTCTGCAAATCCAAAGGAATTCAAAGAAAAGCAGAAAGCAATCAAAGAAAATCGTCGATTGGGAACAACTTCAGCAGGCCCACAATCCCAAATTTTGGATGGAGTCACATATGAAGAGATTGCACAAATGCGGGCGGTATATTTTTGCATGCCTATTAAATTTTAAAATTTATTGTCATTTTGCAACAGTTTGGTGGGTATAAAATTACTAGTTTTTTGAATCTTGTAAGGAAGTTGTTTTATTAAATAATCATTTACATATATACATATATATTAAACTTTTTAATTGATCAAATAGATATAGATGAATTTGTAATGTAGGACGCAGAAACCAGTGGTATGGGTCAGGCAGATCGCGTGGTCATGATCGGTACTGCCAGCAAAGGTATAATTGATCGGCAGCATCAGCATAATGCACAGGTATGTTTCTGAAATGCCCATCTGAAAAATGTTTTGCAGCTGACAGTAGTAAAGAATTGACGAGACTGTGTATTAGAAACTGGAGGTTTACCTAATTTGTTAATGAGTTGAGAATGGCTCTTCGACGATTTATATAAACCTTAATTATTCGCATGCACTTGTGCTTTTTTGACAGGTTTCTGAGTAATATGATTAAGCTACTTCAACTTTTATGGAATTTGAACTTTGCATTTATCGTTTTTGCAGGTTTATCGACAGCTATATGCACCGAATCCGTTTGCTAGTGAAACAGACGAAGATATTCAGAAGTATATGAAGGAAGTTGAAGCAAAAACTCCAAGATCAAGTTCTGCTGCCGATAGTACTGAACATACGACATCCAGTCCACCATTATATGAAAACGACAGTCCCTCTGTTGGTACGCTTTCTTTTATTATTATTGTTCCTGATATATATTAAATCTTTTTGAGGTCAGCATGCGTAATATGATATGCTGTCTCTTAGTCTTCATTACTTCTGGTTGGGTACAGAGTTCAGTGATTTCCGTTTTAATAAGCTACTCTTCTAGAAACAATATCCTTGATGCAAGCAGCTCGAGAACACCGCACACGTCCTACGTTTAGTGGCATGACTTCTGCTTCGATTGATGAAGAAGGAGAAATTTCTTTTGGTGCTCATTCGCTTCCTGTTACGCAGCCTTCTACTGGCAGAGGTTAGTCGTTGTTATGAGGACCGGATCATGCATGTTTTATATATTGTGCTTTCGACGCATGATTTCATAATTGTGTGCTTTTCTCTGAGAATAGTGCAGTGAAGATGGTATTTTTGTGTGTGTGTCTGTGTGTGTAAATATTATTTTAGTAATGATGTATCTTTTTGATGTTGGTGATAGTGAACAACATTACTAAATAATATTGAAAGAGATAAAAGTCTTATAACAACTTCAAACTGATTGCAGTTATTAAATATCTGTTCGGTTCGTACATGATGCTGTCCGACTATACGTAACTTGATATGACGCTATTCATTATACGAAATTATAAATCTTTGAAATTTTAGCATCTTTTAGAAACGTGAGGGTGAGACATAGATCTTTGCTATTTCTATGATAATATTTGCCTCCTTACTAATATATCCTTACTAAGAAAGTACCATTTAGTGATTTTTAATGAGGTTGCAGTTGGTCGTCTTACGTTGGAAACCACTTTCGATGAGTCTGATTCACCACAGAGTCGTTTTGTATGCAGTTCGCCCTTTGTATCTTCAACGCTACCTTATCGTCAGTGCTTGTTTCTTGCTTTTTTCCAGTATTTTTTTGTGGTTTTTAAAGTGTAGATAAAGTAATATCAGCAGTAGTGGTAAGAAGTATAGGTGTTATTATGATGTTTTCATTTGTATGAAAGTTTTCTTGGATTTAGCATAGAGATCAAGGCTTCATTATTAAAAATAATTTGATGTGATGCTATGATTATGTACAGAAGTGCCGTTTTGCGGAAATCATCTTTATAAGTGATTTTTGAAAGCGCGATTGAATTTTATATGTATATATTGTTGCATGAATTTGCACTTTGCATGACTTTTTTTCTCCTGGCAAATGAAAATGTCAATAATTCGAAATATATTACGGGTATTGGAATTTTTATTTGTCAAATTTTAGAACAAAGGAACAAAAGGAATTAAGAATTCTAAAGAGTTATGATGCTTATCAAAGTTGAGCAAAACTAAGATGTTTGAAGGAGGGAATTATTCGAACTAATTTTTTGATATAAATATGACAGCATTGGAGATCTGGTTGGCAACTGATCTTACATCCATTCTATGCTGCTCGTAAATACTATTTGTATTGTGATCGCATGATTGTTTGTTTGTTTTTATTTTGGGTCGCTCGTCGCATGGTTATTCCCCTGATGGTGAAGCAGTTCTTCTGGAGCGGCCAAAGACACTACCGTCAGAAGCGAAGTTCGCACGTAGTAAATCGGATCGTTTTGCTTCATTGCGTAAAAATTTGTTTTCTAAAAGTATGTTTTTTTCGAGTTCCTTTCTTTTTTTCTTCTTATCTGATTGGTCTAAAACATATGATTGTTTGCACTCAATATGATCAGATATGTTATTTGTATGTGAATCATATCTTTTGGTCATTTTGTATATTTTTTTGACATTAATATGCGTATTTGCATGTCCTTCCTGAATTTTATATCACTTTCATCTGTGATTCTAAATAATCTTAAATAATCCCCGAATTACATGGGCATAGTTATATCAAAATACTGCAGCATAAAGCTGCCGATCAGCAAATATTGTTGGACTTTCAGGAAATGATACTGCAGTACGAAATTCAGAAATGGCACTGTCTGATGACGAGGTGAGGTGTTGTATTTTAAAAACTAAGTAAATCGCATCAGGTCATGATCATGGCACCATCATATACATGAGAACGAATGTAGGAAGAATTTGTTATGGAGGCTAACTGATTTCGTTATCCATAATAGTTATATATTTAGCCAAATCAGACCTCCAGCATGCAATATATGGTGAGCAAATTAATTTTAAAGACATTATATGTCAAGTAAACGATAAGGTATCATGATGTTAAGTCAAATTTTGCAGCTGAATCAATCGAAAGAAAGTAAAAAGAAGAAAAGGGGTTTATTCTCGTTCGGGAGGAAAAAGAAGTGAATTTTTAAAAAATGCTCTTGGATCTGCATTTCGTCTTTTACACTGGTATTGTTAATGCTCACTGCTTTATCAGCTTTTTTTTTTCTTAAATTTAAGGGAGATGTAGTGGTGTTGGTTTCGTTCTTCTCCTTTGCGTTTACGCACATCCATTTATTCGAAGCATTTTAATACATTGTTATGTGTTTCTTTTTACTATCCTTTTCTTATTAATATTCCGCAGAACGGTATCTGTTTCCAAAAACTTTACACACAAAATTCTAAATCTTGTTTTGGACCTTTACATAACTGTTACATATAAATTATTTTGGTCGAAGTGAACTTACTGCACGTAATGGAACTTTAAATGCTTATCTTAGAGTTTTTCAATATTTTAGCATATTTCGAATGCGTTATTTAACGTCTTTGAAAATACATGAGCTGATTAGTTCTGTTTTCCAAGTGCTATATTATGTAACATATAAAATTAAGATTGAACATTAATTCTATCTTTTCTTTGTTCATTAGTCAGTAGACTATTATTTCAGGCATATACCGTAATGGTCATTGGACAACAACCGTATGACTGTTTCCAGAAGTAAGCGATCGTTTTTTTTTCGGTTCGATTATGGAATATGTTCTCATATTTACGATTTTTGGAAGAGATTTAAAAAAAAAAAGGATTGTTACAAATTTGCGGATAGGCAATCAGTATAGGATATCGACTTTATTTCCGATATATTAAACTTATCCACAAATAAAGTTTCAAGCGCTCTACTGCGAATACGTTATGAGACTTTCTCCTGTTTTGACTGATTGTCTGTTCATTGTTCCTTATATTTTTATCTCTCTTACTGCTTATTATTTACTCAGATTCATTTTTTTTGCACAGTTTCTGGTCTCTTTTTCTTAAAGCATTTGCCTATGTTCTATCATTGCTTGGGAATGCTTCTTGACCAGTGTCCAGGATTTCATGTTCCTTGAAAAATTTTTTTTTTTTTTGTTACTATAATCATTCTATCACTGGAAGTTCATTTGGTTAGTTTTGCCAATATTTTTTCTTGTTTCTTTAAAATTCTATTCTTATTTCGGAATAATCTTTCCTGGACATCTGAAATTTACTTTATTGTTTTAGTAGGAAAATGCTATGTGAACAGACGTATGTTCGTGTAGTTGACATTTGTCTCAACTATTTATTTTGGCTTTATAATGAATTAGCTATGGTTTATTTGATCCATCATTCTTATTTGAATTCCTGTCTACATACTCGAGGAAAATCTCATCGGTATGATGCAAAAGAAATTTTCAAGAAAATATGGAGACCTGAAATGATGCCATATATTGTTCCATTTGCAATCATTCCAGTAATCATAGTTGTCATTTCAGGCCGGTGGATTTGTATGTTTCTTTTTTTTATGCTGTCTCGGTGAAACTAAAATTTTAGTTTTGTGCTAATTTCCAAACAGAAAACACTTCTGGAATAACAGTTTACTTTTCTTGTTTCTCTTGTTTTATCATCTCGCTGTTTGTTTCGTCATCTTATTATGCCATCAAATGCTTAATATAGAAATACATGCGTCAGTTCATTCAAACCGCTATCATTTTTGTTTCATCCATAAATATCTTCTATTTTTTTCTTGTTCCTTGTTTTCTGAATATTTATGAATGTTTGCTTACTACTTTGCTCGGATTGGAAGCAGTTTAGACTCTCCTATAGGATCCTTTCTATTCTTGTTCTCATTCAGCAAAAATTCACACCATACTACGGGTCTTGAAGTTTTCTTCGGTAATTTTTGGGATTTCGGTTTAACGTATGGGAATTACGGTCATGTCATATTCTTAGATATAATTTGTTTTGTCTTTTAAATCCTGTTTTCTTAAACATACTATTGTCGATTACAACTTTAACTGCCGGTGATTTTTATCCTTTTAACATAGCTGAAATTTATTCTCATATACGGAAATTTGAAATTTTCGAAAGTGCTAAAACGCTTTTGAAAATGGTTCTGATAGGGATCTTTCATGATTTGGTTTCACAGGACTTAGGACTTATTGTGATACTTTCCTTTAAAAACAAATTTGTTTTGTTACACTGATTGAATGGTAGGCAAGAATTTTATTACAGTAGTTTGCTGTCTATTCTCTTCTCTGATTTGTTTTTCTGATATGAATTTTCGAATTGGGAAAGTAAAAGATTTTAAATAAATGTTTGGAGGGGGTGATTTACTTGTTTTTTTTTTTTATGTTCTTTAATGATGCTGAATTTGATTGGAAACATAAATTATGCTATGTCTCGTTATGTTTAAGATTTGTAGAGAAGGAAAATTGTAGAAAAAAAAAAACATGACAGATTTTTGTAGGATTATAGGTGGGAAGCTGCACTGTGTTATTGATTTATTTGTTTTCTATCGCAAAGTTGTTCAACTGTTCTGGCTTATTAAAGATGATTAGTTTATGGAAGTGGTGCACTCAGAAGAGATTAAAGTTCGCTGAATCGAAAGCATCTGCTTACATATACATATACATATAATCGATTATCAAGGGAATATAACACTGAGACATATCATTTAGGATGTTGTTGAATTGTGAAGCTAAATATGGTCACATTTCAAGTATTATTCATGAATCGATTTATGATGATATTGTTAAATTCAACAATTTTGCGTTGAAAGATTTTTCAATTGCAAGAAGTATATATATGTCAATTTCGTATAGCACCATAAGATGGATACCGAAGTATATCAGTGAATGATTTAGGAAATGTTCGGTTAAGGTGAGCCGAACATTGGAAACATATATGAGTGGCAGTAATATACCATTAGAGGGTCGTACTCGTTTACCTGGCAAAATACAGGATTGCATTCAGGATTGCGGTTTGATTATTTCTCATATACAGGTTGCATCACGTTCAAATGAGGCTTGTATTTTATTATAAAAATTTTTTTTTTCATCCATGGAGTTAGCAGGATTCATCCAGTTCAAGCAAACTTAGAACTGGTAATATTTATTAATTGGGATAGGTGAACTAACATAAAAGGGTATGAAATTAGTGTTTTAATGATGCTGTCTATGATGACAGATTGATTTGGTTCGAAATTTCACAAACACTTTTTGTAGTCCTTAATCTTATATTATCCTATGTATCCTTTTAGTCCTTTTAATTGTAATCCTTGCGATGATTTTTATTGGATAATAATTGGATGCATCAGCTTACTTGTATTATGGATAATTTCAAAACTTTAAAAATTTTTTTTCTAAAAGAACTTACAACGATTTCTTTCAGCTTCTTGGGATGGCTAGCAAAAATTTCGCTTCTTTAGATTCAATAATTGAGCAGTCATCGAAGGTAAGTGGACTTATTGGCATTTTGATGTTGTATTTTAGGAGTAATTTTTCTATTTTCTAACAACTAAATTCCATATTTGATATGTTCTTTTGCATATTTTTAGTTGCAAAACATTTTATTTTTTATTTTTTATATTCGTACCAGTAACTGGACCATTCAACAGGTAAAGCATTACTGAAAAACAGATTTCATGTAAACTAAACAATTAAGCTGAGAGTTACGAGTAGTTTGGAAGTCCTGAGGTATAATTTTAGAAGTAAATGATTTCTTTAAATGTAATGTTTAGAATTTACGGAAGCTGGATGCTTTATTGAATACGATAGATGTGCCGTAAGTTTTTTTTTTTTGATTCTAATACTATTCATTACTTAGATATTTTCGATAATGGATAAATGTGTAGACTCTTGAATTCTTTTTTATATAGCATAGATTTGCAATATTGTCTTTTTTTTGCTTTTTTTTTTGTTTTGCACAACTTTCAGTTTACGCAAGAAAAAAGAAGACTCAGATTGTCAACTATTTAAATTGTTCGGATAATCCATCGGTTGACGTTATGTACAGAACAGACAAAAATTATCTACTTTTCCACATCCATCATCACAATATCTGTTTTTTAGGTACATGCCAGTGAGCAATAAATGAATTTAGTGGCAGCGCTAAATAATGAATTATTTGAATTGGCCGATGGTATTGATCATTCTTATTTCTCAATCAAAAATGAATAGCTGTTAATTTCTCCCATTATTAATGAGCTTTTTTTTTTCTTTTGTGATATTCCTCATTGTAATTGATCTTAAACGAATTTTTTTAAAAAAAAAAATCATTAGTTGGGAATAAATTAGTGAAAAGCCTATGCAATTAAATAAACTTATCCCTCGAGCTATATTTTTGAATAGAAAGAGAGTTCTTTTCGATTATGCTCAACTTTCTCAGTTAATCTTGAAGTATACCAGCAGCAGAACATTGTCGTTTATAGAGTCTTGTTGTTGATGGCGGTTGAAAAAACTTCCTATAAACATGCATAAACAAGCAATCTTTTGGAATCGAGCAGATTAATGAACAAAAAAAATTTATCTACCAAACGGTTTTATCCAACATCCAATATTTTCTTGCTAATTTCTTATAATTTTGTGAATATAAAATCTTATTTTCAATGCGTGTATAAAAAGTTTGGTTTAAATTTTGTCGAATTTTTACACTCCATATTCAATCGACTATCCGTGATAGATTATTATTAGTAATACTACCTTCCAACTGAAGTTTTCAATTTTATGATTTTACCGAGATTGTAAGTTACTGGTTAAGCATAAAGTTAATTATTCTAACTTGTATTTGTACATTCTTTTTTGAGAGTGGTTAGTTAAGAGTTTAATACTGAAACTTTAAGCTTTAAAGCATTATTGTCGATATATTTCCGAATTGGATTGGATTATATGTCTTCATACAATTTACTGTTATTTAAAAAGATGAAGCAACAAAATTGACTTCTAAATAAACTCTTTTTCTATATTACTTTCTTTTATGGTATTTTCTGGTTTTTTACTTGGTATGTTGTGCTTTTCATATTCATTTTAATTTTTATAACTTTCAAATCCCATCTAATTTTTACAAAATATTCGACATTATAACACAGATATACAAATCGAATTATGCACTTTTTGTGAGCGAAACAAAACAAAATGGGCATTTGTAATGTTTGCCTGAAATTTGTAGTTAGCTCACACTACACATTCAAAAATAATGTTTTAGAAAATTTTAATTAATTAGAATTAGGTAATAAATAAATTATTTATTATGATGATTGAGCAAGCGTTTTTTTATGCGCTATAAGAATTTAGCAGGAGGGAAAGTTAACGAATTTTAATTTAATTAGGAATTCAGGATTCTAAGTTGTTTTCACATATCTAATCACTGTTTCACCTAAAAGAAAAATAAAATTGACATCATGCAAAAATAAATATTAAATATATACATATCATTGGTTAAAATTATAGAGAAATATGGGAAAGGATTTGATGGCTTATTAAGTACCACACGAATTTATGGTTAACTTATTATTCAAAATACGAGTGAAATAGAAGACAATAGTGAGAGTGTTAGAGAGTTTCAGGATGCAATATTAAATTCAAATAATATTTTTTGCAAAGAAAAAAGAATGGAATGCATTTTACGTCAACGATGCATACATATCGAATAAAACCTGTTGTAACACAATCTAGCAGTCTTACTATTACAAAAATGAAATGATGTTAACTTTTCTTTTAATCGATACTATAATAACTTCGACAGCTTAAACTATCATCCACGCTATCATCGCTATGTCTTCACCTATTACCACCCCATTTACAAATTTCAGTGTACAATTGATCTGGGGTTGCTCACTTCATGTTATCAATTTCCAATTGAGAATTTACCATCCTAATATTTTCATCGATATCGAATGATAATTCCGGTTTATCACCATATGCAACATAGTTATCACATGTTACAAAGAGAAATATTCGGCATAATTCTTTTTTATTAAATGGAACCTGTGGAAAATTCACTTTAAAAAAAGTAAAAACTTTAAAAATAACTGATAAGATAAGGTTAGTTGAAGTTTTTTTTTCTTTTTTGGAAGTTTCCATTTATAAATTCTAAATTTTTAAAATTTTAGATGAAAGACGAGAAAAGAGGAATTGATTTAACTAATTATTGGTGCGTGAATCAATAATAAATGATACTTTTCCTTGTCCCGTGAATCAATAATAAATGATATAATAATAAATAATAAAAGACACATCTGAGACTCCATATAACAGCTTTATGGCCATATTCACGTATCCTCAAGATATTTGCACCTACTTCAGGTACCATATAGTACAATGTACCAGCAACATTTGATAATGATTCACGTTTTTTATCGTCAAGGATTCGAGATATCCTGAAATCAGAAATTTTTGCCGTTTCAATCAAATTTTGCTCTCGATATTTGATCAAAATATTATTTATTTACCTGTTTCTGATTTTTAACCGTTAATGACAAGTGAGATCTCAATAATTAATTAAATCCTGAAAAAACCGACGAATTTTCCAAGAATAAATTAAACACAGTAATAAAAATATCTGCGCAGATATGTATTATGATAAAATATGAGGGATGCTTGGATATTTCACCAATATTTTAATGGTTCATTAGTTTTCTTCTGTTTGATTTTTACTGATATTTATTTTATCAAATTCTATTGGCGGTTCTTTTTTTAGCAAAATTTTTTTTTCAGTGATAATCAAAGAATTATTTTGAAATTTGAACCAAAAAATCGGCTATATCTTTGTTTTAAAAAACAAGTGTTCTTACAGTTTCCTGATGATATCACATCTGGAGAGTGATAAACCAATTGATTGATGATTTCTGGTAGTTCTCAGTATGCTGCACCAATTGAATTATGTAATTAATTGCACATGTTTCACGAGGGCACTTCATAATTATTACAATCTGTGCGTGCTTTTTTTTTGAATTGAGAAAAATCGGGTTGACAAAGAAGATCATTTTCCATTTCTAAAAAAGATCTCGATTTTTCAACCAAAAATCATCGCTTCCTCTGCTTTTCATAAATTAAACCACGTAAACTTCGATGGAACCAAACCGAATAAAACAATCAATCAACAGAAATGTCATACTCTTATCATTTTCTAAAATTAACTTTAACTGTTTTTCTCTCTTCTTCATCATTTCTCTTTCATTTTCTATCTTTTTCCCACTTCCCACCTCTACTGCTCACCCTTCCTGAAAAAAGTGAAAATTGTCCCTGATCTATTTATAGAATGGTACGTTTATATAAAAGTTATGATTTATCTAAAAATTTCAATTTTTCTATAAATAAAAAAATTAACATGCATAAAATTTTATAGATATCGTGTGATAATGATTGTGTGAATCTGAATCTATGTTTTGCAAAAATAATGTGTTTGACAGTAATAAATACATTTTTATCTCCCTAAATCAATTAGAAATTAAATTCAGAAAGTTCACATTATACAGAATGATTGTCACAACACTCTTTTTTAACACTCAAACAAAATGGATGTTGATGAAATAAAAACAAACAGCTAAATGAAATTGAATTACTGCATTTTCGAGGAGTTATGATATTTTTCCAAGGGAGATAAATAAGTGCTTTCCTTCATCATATTCTTTTCCCTGCTTTGGTAACTTGAAGCTTCATGCTCTTTTAAGTGAAATTTTTTATAAAATTATTGCAAATTTATAAATCTACTGCTTAAATCAGAAGTTCTATAAATTTAAAAATTTCACAACGGTAGAGGATAGCATTTGAAATGAACTGTTGTGACACTGATTGCTTAAAAATTTCTTACATCAAAATAGAAAGAGGATTATTTGGGTCATGATAAGAAGTTATTAGAAATATACCAAAATTTCATTCAGAACTTCTTAAATGGCACTTAATTTTTGATATAAAACAGATGTGGTATACACATACCAAAAAATAATATTGCCTAATCTCTTTGTAAGGTAATGTCATTGCCGCCGCTATTTCCAAATTTCAATTGTAGAATAATTTTGACGAAGTCGATTACAGTTTTTAAAA